GAAGAACTTGTGTCTCATCCCTGACAACGTGTCTTGCAGCTGTCCAGCTAAGTAGTATTTGTCCTGTAAGTGAGGTAGGAAAGGAGTAATTTCAGTGTGCAGTCTCAAGTTGTCTTTCTAAGAGCTATGTCTAAAGGACGTTTTTTATAGCAGTTATAATACAGAACCCAGTGGATGTGTTGCTGTCTGGTTTTTTTAAATCAAAGGCACTGTATTTCAGTCATTTGATTGATCTGCTTACCTTGTAGGGCACTTTGCCATTATGGACCCTCTGGGTGGAATGGAGTGAAGGCACAAACAGCAAGGAAGACACAGAAGCTCTCTACCAGGTACTTAGCTAATGGAAATCTACTTTTTATGACAGTGTGTAAATGAATGGGAACAATGTGTGTGGACGGAGCATTTAACAAATCCTTTATATTGCACATCTTTCATGGATGTGTTGCTATCAGAGAATTCCAAGTAAAACTGTGAGTGTTACCAAAAATCAGTTGGACATAGGCTCATAAGCACAAACGTCATCCCCATGCTTCTAAGACATTTAGATGTTTGTAAGCACAACTGGTGATGGACTCTTACTTTTCTTTTACTTTGTGGTCTAGAAGTTTTGCTCTATTTTCAAATTTCTGTCTGAATATGCAGAAGAGAATTTTCCCATCTGTGTGAAAACATCAACCTTGTTACAGAAAAGAAGAAAACTGGGACTTTAATCTCGCTGTAAATTCCTTCAATAGCTTAGGGCAAAATATTTCGTCTTTGCCTGGCGTGTTGGTTGTTCCCTCCCTTGCCCCCCATTTACAACATAAAACATGTATTTCAGGTAGAAGCTTGAATTCAGTTGCTTGTAGAGCATTGTGAAACCCTTTTCGTGAAGGTTGTTAGGGAAATGCCAATTGCCGGCTGTATGGAATATTGGACAAGACATGTATTTTAGGTTGCAACTAATATTTTATTTTGAAAAATCTGAAATATGAAAATTTCAGGCATCATTTGGGATGCTTTTGTCCAGTACTTCGTCTGACTTAAGAGATCTGCTTTCTGTCAGATGCCTACTTAGGGAGAAGATACTATTTGGTTTGTTCTTGCTGCCTGTTATTTGTAGCTTATGTGGTTGGTTTGGTTTTTGTTTTTTCTCCTTTTAAACTTGCAGAGATCCTTACATGCCACAACTCATGCTGAATCTGTGACTATGAAAGAAAAGTATCTTGACTGGACCTACAGAAATGGTGGTTATAAGAAAGTTAGAAGACTCTTTACCAGGTAACAAATATAAACCTTCCAATGCAATTGTTCTAGGGTGTATGTTAAAAGGTTTGAAGTCTAAAGTTACTTATGTTTTTACTTCAGCCTGTGTGAAAATCGTCCGTTTTCACTTGACTTCTTCAGGAAGATGATCCAAATAGAAAAGGAACAAGTAAGTTGTTGAATACCCAATTAGGGCCTTGTATTTGTAAAATACACTTCTAACTTCAGATTTATATAGGAAGTGGAGGGCTTATGAGTACTGTCATTAGTTTGTGATCTGTTCATATTTATCTTCTACAGTTGATTCATAGCATGTAATACAAAACCAAGTTCCATGGTAACTAATCTTTGGCAGTGTGCGTGTGCGCGTGTAATTACCATGACTCTCTTTCTTTGTAAGAATTTAATCAAGCTGCAGATTCACTTCTGTACAAAATAAATGGCCTTTTAATACCTTCCTTTGTTAGGAATCCTGTAAAATGCTTCATCTGAGAGAATACTATGAACGTGCCTTGAGAGAGTTCGGTTCAACAGATTCTGGTAAGGAGATTTTATTTATTTATTTATTCATTCAGTGCTGCCTCTTTTATTTCCATCCATTTCAAAAGGCAGTTGTTTGTTCTGCACTTGCGATTGCTGTCATGCAAAGTGGAGCTTATTTCTTGTGTGCCATTAAGTGCATGACACTGCAGCGACCCTTCACTTTGAGTTCAGGGTTGTTGGTCACAGTGGGATGGCTTCAGCAGAGCTGTTAGCAAATAAGGTTTTGACACTGGCTGGTGTAAGAGATGCACGTCACCTTTCATTTGGATTTGTGAACAGTATGGAGCTATTTATTATTTTTTTTAATCAAGATTTCTGCAGTATTGGTTTTAAGAAAATAAACAGCTCCATTATTTTTGCGTTATTTGTCAAGACATTGCTGTTCCAGCTGGGAACAGAACCTGGGCTTTTGGCCCTCAGGAGGCAGGGGGTTGTAGTTTCACAAAGTAAGCCTCATTGTGTTAACATCAAGCACACATCTAGGTTAGGTTTGGTATGTTTGTTAAGTAATATCCAATCAAAATCTAAACAGAACTTCTATTTTTCTTTTAAAGTTCTCTGGCTGGATTATATCAAAGAAGAGCTAAGTCATCCCCAAGGCAAACCAGAAAACTGTGGGAGCATACACTGGCGAGCTATGAAGATGTTGCAGGGAGACCTGGTGGAAGACTTTGTTTCCAAATACACTTTATTGCAAACTGGACATTTATGAAAAACTATAAATACTTACAACATGACAGTGTGGATTGTTTTTTTTAAAACTTCTTTGTACAAAGGTAAATGTATGCCTGGATCATATTAAAGGGTGTCTTCTTTACATTCTTGCATATGTGGGGAAAAAAAAATAATCATCAGCCTCACTGCAGTTGTTTCTAGTGCTGCTTCTGCCAGGGGCAAGTGCACAGTTACAGGAGAAAGCAAAGGCATCTTTGTTGAGACTTGTGAGAGAAAACTCGTCCTCCTGCCTAAACATTCATATGGAATAGTCATAATGCATCAGCTTTTACACTCTGGGAAGCTAATTTACAACATATAAATGCAACTTCTCCCTGGAAACTACACCTGAACTACACCTGTGGGAGATCTTCGTATCTTACTAAGTTGAATAATGAAAAGTGGAACACTGGAGAAACAATTTTTAAAATGATAGTATTTATTGTTTTCGAGCCTTGAAGTAATCTGTAATCCTCTTTTTGGGAAGAAAAAAAAACAACAAAAAAACCCAAAACAACCTCTGCAACCACCTTGATTGGCGTTTGCATCCTCAGCTGTAATTCTGAGTGTGTCTATGAAATGTAGAGGGGAGCTGAGATCTGTTACAAATGGCCCTGATGTGACAGTAGAAAGTTCTGATCTATGCTTCAACTTTCTGTCCACAATGCCTGAAAAATGGGTAATGGTTGGTTTAAGACAGTGCTGTTCTTGGCTGTTTGCAGAGATGCATTTTCCCATGTCAAACCCATTAAATCAGCATAAATGCTATCAGACCAAAACAGCACGCCTAGGGGAAGTATAGTTCCTTTATCTGATTTCCCAGTGACTGAATGATGACATAGTAACAATACAGAGAAACATTTCTTCAGGATTTTTCACACAAGTAGAAGCTGCAGCTCCTGGCAATGAATTCCAGTAACTTTTGACTAGCTGGAAACAAAGTTTGGAGCAACAGCCTGTTAAGAGTGCTCCTTCTGTGATGTCTGAAGTACATCCTGCTTTTAGCCAAGCCATCTTGTGTCTCCCTGCTAGTTCTGGACCGTCTCGTCTCTGGCATCGAGCTCCTCGTGCAGTAATCACTGCTTTTCTATCCTGTCTGCCCTTTATGATGTTACTCCCTCCCCTGAATCACTTGTCTTGCTTTTACAGTTGCACACCAAAAAGTTTTTAAGTGCAAAGTATGGGTTTGGGGCATTTTTTTGTTTGTTTGGGAGTTTTGTTGTGTTTGGGGTTTTTATTTGTTTGGGTTTTCTTAAGTCCAGCAAAGCTTATAACGTGACCATTTTAGAAAGTGGGCCCTTTTCCTTCACCTGTTCTGGTTCCTTGCAGAACTTCCCCCTTCCCGTCCCTGCAGCGCCTTTGAGCGGTGCGTGTTTCCTGAACGTGGGTTTAAGCGTTAACGGAGCACCTGCCCCGTCTGCGCTCCCCCCCGCTAGCACGAGGCCGAGCAGAAACTGTTGTCTTTCGGTGAGATTAAAAAGCCACAGAGCCGGGAGAGGCATTGATGTGTTTTATTCACAACTTTATGAGTGTAAAGGTGTTTTCTTACAGCTTTTATGTCTGCATTTCTCTGCCCTTATTCTCCAGGTGTTTTAATTGCTTATTTCTGCCCTCACGTCGGGCGGTTTTCCTCTCCCCCCGGACACCCTGAGAGCAGCTCTGCGTTAAGCGGCCGCAGAGCGCGCGGGGCCGTGAGGGAGGCGGGAGAAGCC